GTTTGGTAATATTAAATAAAAATTTAAGTTGTCATTCAAAAGATTATTTGAATTATAATATATTTTATTTATAGAAATGTTATTGTATAATGACTTAAAATTATGTGAACAAAACATTTTCAAAACCTCTTTTCTGAAATAAATGAGTATCTATTTCAATATATGTTAAATCTTTAACGAATTGGGTTGATTCATATATACACCTGTATATCAACATTATACGTGACATATCCCCTAAATAAAATTAAATCATATATTCTGTAATCATTACACTGACATTTTTTTGCAGAGGCAAAAATTGTGTATACTTTTTCTACACAAAACTTCATAACAGGTGTTACCTAATAATAGGTGACTCAACCTTTTGTAATTAGCGGGCCAATTTAAACATTTACAAATAGCATGGGGGCTGCCAAAAGAAAAAAATATTTTTATTTTTATTTGTATTTTATTTTATAACAAACATATCATAATATAATTTAATTCACAAGTTATGATATTGTAGAAATTAGAGTACATACTGACAGATTAGGACTGACACCGAGCCATCTCCTATACTGTTTTAGTATTTTTTTTTTAATTCAACACACTTATAAAACACTAAAATTATGATATAAATGCCTTCTAAGGAGGGCTAAAAAAAAGGCTTGGATGGTTTTGGGTTGGGCCCCTAAACTAAGTCATAGATTGACAATRCCGTGCATTATCCATACGTATTTGGTGAAAGAGTTGCAAATGTCTATCTATATATCATATACAATATATATGCAAATTATATGCAATCACCGATATTAAGCTATCAAACATCTGTTGACCATTGAGATGTTCCCTCATTTGCTAGTCATAATAATTTACTCTAAAAATCGATATTWAGAGTTGGTTGATTTTAATTTTGAAACCAAATTTTAACCAATCAGATTTTTAAAAGGTATTGTGAAAATTAGTTTTCGATTAATAATTTAACTTCGAATTTTGAGCGTGGTGGTATATACCAGGCTTAACAATCTTCTAGATAATCTAGTTATAATTATTCAACTCAAATTTGCAAATATATCAATATAATCATAGATTTTAAATTAATTTTATAATTATATTTAAATTAAATGTGTGAATTAAAAATAATAATAAAACGAATTTCACAACATCGTCGTATCACCGCACAATTATTAATTTTTTATTGCACACTCAATATTTCGTATYACACAATTAGAAAAAGCTTCWCGTTATAGTTATACGTTTTTTATTTAAGTACTGTACTACCGTCTATAATTTTATGAATTGATGTACACTTTAATGAATTACAAAATACTAAATACCATTTGTGATTAGATCTTCCTGCTTTTAAAATATATCCTTCCAGCTGCCATGGCAATATATATTACACTCGTACACAAACTAGAATGTTTAATAATATTGTTTTTTGTATTTGTTAAAAGCAGGTTGTTGCAGCAGGTGTGCGTTCAGAGAATGGAGGCTGGTTGGTGATAAGTTGCAATTATTTTGTTTCAAAGACTATGATGCGTTGATAGCAACTCGTCCAGCGGTATATAGTTATTGCTTTTTAATACTAACTATTAAATTATGTTACTATAAAATAAAAACATGTCTTATAATTTATACCATGAAGATTATTTAAAAACTATAGTAAACTTATTACTTAGGGATGTATTATATATAATAAACATAAATATTTACTAAAAGTTACTATTATTTAGTATTTTATTATCAGCAATATTGAATAAGAAAACACAGTTAAATCGCTTTAGAATAGATTTTCAAAACGATTTTACCAACAATAATAATTGTAAATCCATGAAAGTACATTTTCTTAAATTATAAGATTTGAGAATAATATATAATATAATAAATTAATAACAATAGATAAATAAGTATATACTGACATTAATACATTAAATGTTCTTTTTACCGTACTTCAATTCAAACATTGCTTTAAAATTTCTTGAAATATTGCTAATTTATAAGGGCTTAGAATTAGGAGTATTTTATACCAAACACTAGTATCTACGCATAAAGYAGGTTGGTTATTATTTTTATTTTAAAGTACCTACTTAAACAATATTTCTAAACAATAAACTATTAAACTTCATTAACTCATTGAAGTAATGAATACCTGTTTTCCATTATTACATTAATAGATGATGAGCTAAATTAATAAAAAGCTAAATAAATTATACAAAATCAACAATTATTAAATTAATAAATAATCGMTGTGTCATCAATTATAACAATTATGTCTTATTCAATGATCATGTAGATGTAAGCTTATACACCTGTAAATGACAGGTGTAAATATTTAACGATACGGAGATATACCTATACTATAATTTCAACAATAKCATATATTATATAACTTATTGTATTGATATTTTAAACATATGTTACTCATAATCGTTTTAACGCAGAAATATTGTATTACTGTATCCACAAATCACAATAAATTCTAAATATTATATAACAAAATCTATTCTAACTACACCCATAAAATTGAATATGTTAAAATAAATATTAATTACGTAGTTTGTTGTTAATACCTTTCGATCGTATTACAGATAACTAACATACAGTTTTGCTTCCGGTTCAAGTCCAGTCCGAAATGTTTAAAGCATCCCAATGTTCCAAACGCCAATTGTTTCATATTTTTCGACATCGTTTCGGGTAAGCAATATATGAACACACTCAAAAATATGTACGAGAACACAACCATCTCATCTCCTTACTGACAACTATGAATGTCAGTAATTATGACCACTTAAATCGTTTGCAGGTGATATTCACAAAAATTGGATGCAAGTGGTGCGCCGGTTGAAAGAGACGTCGGCCAACGCAACGACTGCACAGCTGCGCCGATGGTCGCGGGCTGTGGACGAGAACGGAAACACAGCTCTGATATTGGGCGCCAAACGGCTAATGAACTGCGGATTGTTTAAACGTGCATATCAGTTTGCAGTAATGATGCTGAAATTCGGTAGTGACGTCAACTGGTTGAATAACGGTGGACGCTCGTTAATTACATACACCGTCCATTACATGGATCAGGCGATAGACATCACTAGACTCTTATTGAACTGTGGAGCAACCGTATGGCTCGAAGGTGAGATGATCTAAAACGAGAACACTCCCCGCCCCCTCAACCTCAACCTAACCAATCCATAGCCAAAAACCATATAACCTATAACAGCCAACTGGTACTGGCTATATAACCTATAACCTTTGGCTAAAATGTTTAAAGAAAAACTTCTCCCCCGCCGCACACACCCTGTAGTTAAGAAATAAATAACTATAGTGACATGTTTGTACCTAAATAATTACATGTATTATCACGAAAATATTATGTATCATTGAGCTATACATACAAATATTTGAAATGTTTATTTTTTTAAATTAATGTTGATCAAATGTTTGTTTTTTGGTCAAAAAGCTTGTTGGTTTAATAAAAATTACCTAACCTTCTCGTGCTTAASGCTTGCAAATTTAATATCAGCTATAGCTAGTAGATAAAACGTCAAATTATTACGTAATTGTATCATGAAAATATCGAAAATTGATGTTGGTGTTATTGATATTAAGTTTGTAAGTGGGCCGATAAAGCACAAAAAAATCGGTGGGCCGAATTTGTTCAACCCAGTTCATGGATAGTATGAACTACTATAAACTATAAAGTATCCTAAAAAATAGATATTGACACACTGTCTCCAATAAAAATCGTTTCTCCTAAACAATATGGTTCGTTTTTAAGTTTAAATTTGACACATCCATTATTACAGTAATCTTCTCAGTGCCGAGGCACATTGAAACCTACTACACAACTAATCTAAAGTGCTGACTGGCCCGCGTTATTTTAACTTTTGTGCRTTGTCGACAGATTGTAATTCGGAAGCTAGACTCCACTACGTGAAACTACTGAAAGAATACCGTACAAAAACGCAAACAACACTGCAGAGACGTTTAACCGATGATCCGGTTGAAAGCCCACTGGACAGCATTTTCACTTGGTTCCTACGTTCCGTCATGATCAGAAGGCGCATGGACGACAGTTGTCTGCGCACATTGTCATTACTTTCACAGGTTGGTTTAATATATTCTATTTAAATGTACAAAGTGGRCTCTAATTATAAACGATCCAAACCAATTTCCCCACCAAAGAAAACCTCTGGGCTTAAAAAAAAAATTATATATAAGTTGATTCAACTGTTATAAGTTATAACTTTAGGTTATAGAGCTATTTTTATACAAAAAAAAATATCAAATATTGATTTTAAATAATTTTTATACGACAGTGTTTTATTAGAACGATTGGAATTTTCAGTTTTAAAATTAAATTAATTATTTTTTAACTTCATATTAGTATTACTCGTTTCAAGGATACGCAAAATAACTAAATTAATAGTTTCTATATTATTTTAAACGTATTATATATAATACAACATTTAAACAAATTAATAAAAACCAATATAGTTATAAATATTATATTATTTATAATATGCCTTATAAAAGGTATCATTTATTGTTCGCATCGGTTGTATGTAATTATTTAAATTTAAAATTTGTAGGTATGTTTAAATTATCATTTATCACAAAATTGTGCTATATTTGAGTCACTAAGTGTACCGCAGACTAAAAAACCTGTATGCTGATTATATTATCATTATAGGATAGTGATTTACCATTTACCTAAGCGATTTTTTTTAAGCTGACAAAATAAATATCAATTTATCAGTTTGAACTTTACACCTATTTTTGAAATTTTGATTTTAAAAACATTTACTTAWTTTAAAATTAAAAAATATGTTTTTACGTATAAATGCAGGTTGCATCAACAATGGTATTTAAATTACCTATTTTAAAGTTGTAATACGGGGAGTTTAATTGGATTTACACTTTTGTTAAACCTAACCTTCCAGTTTCATTCTACTGGTGTAAATGTTATATTGTAGTTTTATAAATACTGGCATACCTACAACCTATTGCATTAATCTATTTTAACTCATTTATTTCAAAATTAGCTTGCAGTTGTTTTGTTATTCAAATTTATTCCTTTTGTGGATTACATCTATATCGAGGGTGTCAACATTTTATACGGAATACCATCTATTAATCAAACCAAAAAAAAAAAATGTTTAAATATTTTAAACAATCTTTTACATTTATAATTATAATTTTACCAATCATTCAACCACCTACCACTACCCATTACGATCTTATACCGACCCTTTCGTGTGCGCTACCGTACCTAAAATTTTTCCAACTGCTATTATATCATTACAGAATGATACGTAGGTTATTTATATATTATTATTATATTATGTCGTATCTGTGTATTAGTATATTATACTTACTGTGGGTATTGATTATTGCAATATACGTCAATACATATAATAACATGTCGGCATGCGGCTAATGGTTCTTATTTTCTTTTCTAAAAACGTTAATTACCTATTTTTTTTTTTCATGGCACGCCCAGTCGATGGGCGAGGACCCGACCAGGATGCACTCGCACGTCATGCGCACCATGTTCAGTCATGCTCAGTGTTACAATATATTCGGACCGGTGTTCTTCCAGATCAAAAAGGCCCTGGCGCCCCAGTGGGTGCAACCACATTCGCTGCAGCAGCTGTGCCGCAAGTCCATACGGCGGTCGCTGTTTCGCGGCCGCCACGGTAACGCACACCCCGAAACGGTAGCCGAGCTTAAGCTGCCCAAGCCCCTAGAGTCTTATGTCTCCTACCACGACTGAACCATTGCACACCATTATTTCTCCCGCGATCAGCACCCGGCCACCTCCATACCTCATCGTCAAAAGTCATCAACGGATAAACTTATACTCGTCTTCCACGCCACATAATATAAAATATACAGTTTCCCCCATCCCACTTCCAATTATCACTACACTTGAAATTAAAAGTGTATAATGAGTTTACGAAATGTTATTATATTGGAATTTCAGTTTGGATACAATGATTTAAAATATAAATATATATTTTTTTAAACATATAAAATATTCGAAAAAAAATTCCAACTGAGAACTAATTTGGATACAAACGGGACGCGGAATTACGTGATATTGCGTCAAATACCATCTATTGTTRAACTGTATCTTAATTTACTTCGTTGAATTGTGAAAATCAAGTAAATTAAAATTTTGTCCGCCTCCTATTAACCCCTGCCCACACACGATATTCATCCCCCCATTCGTCCACGAAATACCGATTATCGCCGAGTCCTTGTTGAACCTATATATTATAAATGTGCGTATATGATATGTCCTATATTATATAATATAATAATATATATACAATACATACTGAATTAATTTCCAAAGCTTTCGATTGGAAACGTACATTATATAGTTTGTAAGTACCTACTATGTCACCAGACGTCACCGGTGTGTCTATATATCTTGCCAACTAATTACGTTAGGCCAATAATACATAAGTCGATAAGTCCGTGCGTGGCTCCTGTTATTTTTATTATTATATACACCYAGCTTTTCGACAAGGTTATATAATTTTCGACTTACTTTTTTTTATTATATATTATATAAATTGTTTTATATTGCGTAACTCCATCACAATAATGAATCATTTTTATCCGTTGTCTGGTATTATATATAAGTTTATCGAGTGTGTGCAAGACATTTTGTGTACTACTTAATAAAGTTATAGATATAGGTAGGTAGTAAATTATTTTACTCACCCGATGAAATATTGATTGTTCATTATATATAATATATTGYGATATAAGCTGTAAAAGTTCAATACTATACTCGCAATCAGGTTGCAAAAAAACGTTTTTCTTGCCTCATAATAACAGTAGGTATAATAAATATAGGTAAATAATTTCATTTATTAACCTATACCTATATATTATAATAATATTGTATATGTTTATTTATGTATTTATTATTTCGTGTACTAATTTCACAAAAAAATGTTTATTGTATTTACACGATTATATTAAACTATAAGTACCTAAATTGTAATTTTTTTTATATAGTCATTAGAGTCTATATTATATTATAATGTATAGTCTATGGACGATTTAGTTTAGTTATAGGTATTAGAAATATGTAATTCAGATTAACTGTTTAAAATGTATTAAATTACGCGTTTTCCAAGTATATATCGCTTAACTATGCCCAAGTTTTGACGTCGTGACTGCTTTATTATATCGGGTAATACAATTATTTAGAAATATAATATTATAATAGTATTGCAATCAAGACATGTTTACTTGCGATTATCGAAAGATGTCAAATTGTCAAATGAACAGTGATTATAATTTTGTTAATCTTTCACGTATAAGATCATAATTATAAGTGTATTTATTAACAATTGTTGTATTGTACGCTCCGTTGTAGTTCTCCGTGACACCGTCTATGTATAGKTATACATTCGTTGCAGTATCTATATATACAATATATATAGGTACCTGTATATTTGTTAAGATTTGTGATTACTGCCATTGGCATTTACATAATATATAATAATATTATAACACATCTATATTGATTTATTTCGTAATTGATTCCTAATGTTCACTATCGAATCGAGTAAGTCCTTATTTATTGTAATGTTTGTCGTTATTATGTACCTATTACCTATGATAATATCGATAAGTGTTATTTCGCGTATGCAGCTTGTGTGTATATATGTGTGTGTGTGTGTGTGTGTGTATTATCTAGTCGCAAAGTTAGCGACCAAACCAAAGGGTACCTTATAAGTTATATTATGTATTTATTATAACACGTTGTTTCAAGTTTTAAACCATCTACATATATCAAAATTATTGTTATTTCATCCTATCCAATTTTAACTTTTATATACAATAAAATATTCTAAAATTATGTTATAATTCAGGTTCTGTGTAAATCAATTAGTTCTAATAATATTTGTACCTAATCCATAATGTTTCTTTATGTGTGCGTTATTGCGATTGAATAAAACTATTAATTTAAATTGTTTTTTTTTTTTTTTTTTTTTTTTTTTTCCATAAATTAAGCCATCCTCGGTTAAAACGATAACAAATATATTATATATTATTTCTAAATAATAATTGCAACAATGATTTGTATTATCGTTTAAGATTAAGAACTAGGCGGTTTGAGTGTTTTCTTTAGCTTGGTTTTCGATTGCACACCTTTCGTCTCCATGGTACTCATCGGTCTTTGAGCATTTTTCGGGTCGATTTTCGATAGTAGTTCGGTTTCGAGTCTTACGAAATAACCACCTAAATAAATATCATTTAATGTATGAATAATCGGAAATTTTTTCGTTCACAAATCTTTACGATAGTGAAAAACACAATATTACAATATCTATTATAATGTGCTGGGTGGTATCTATACTTCAGCGTGGGTACTATAATATAATTACCAGATCGCTGACCATTATCAATAACAGGGTTGTTGGTAGTATTCAACACTCGGCTGCATTCCGTGTTCGTATTGCTATTTTGATGTAACAACTGATGTACGATTTGCCTGAAACAGCGTTCTTCGTATTCTCTCTGATTGTCCTGATTGCAACGCATTGGTGCTGTCATCGACCATTGATAAGTACCAGAATATCTTTGAAAAAAAAAATCGCAAATTACTTACAATAACATTTATATTGTATGCATATATTACTTCAGTATTTACTAAACTTATTAAAATACGACGAAATTACCTGTATCTTTGTTTCAGTGTTCTTATGGCTTTCGAAGACCGTTTGATCTTTTGTTGTCTATTGTTATAAGTTGTCTTTTCAGAATGAGTTGAATCACTGTCACTAAAACTCGACAATGAATCTTCAACTTCTTCAAACGACGATCCAAATGACGAATTGATTTCATTCAGTGGAACTTCGGTCGACTCGTAGACGTTATTGTCACCTTTTATTTTGGGGCAGAAAAATAATRTTTTTTCACACACAGCTATATTTGAGTTTCACCAATAATTAATTATAATGCTCGAATTAACTGCAGTGTTGGGTAAGTAACTTATYGAAAGTAAATAATTAAATTTGTTTCTACTCGTAAGATACTTGTAAAAAAAGTAAAGAGGTTACTTTACATTTCAAAAAAGTAACTTTCACAATACAAAAAAAATATATATATATAGTCGGTAGGTAGTATTTTCAATGTTTTTTTAAAATTATTATTTCTTTTCGATTGAAAATCTTAAGTGTAGTTTAAAAAAGATGAATTCAAGRAAGAGTTAATAAATTAATAATAAGGTATAGTACAAGGAACTATACCTACTAAATAGTTTATCAAAAAATTGAAAACTGAATAATGAATTGTGACGAGTTAAGTTTTAAAATAATAATATAGGTATCCATAAGCCATAAAATATGTCTAGGTATATTATATAAATTCCTGATTATTATTATTTTTTTGGATTAATTAAAATTGTTAATTCTTGATAGGTACTTGAAAAAGGAACGCGTTGAATTTTAARAACCACTTATCGAAAATAATTAATTTCYRTTACACTGCGAATTAGTGAGGGTGATAGAACGTCCGTATATCATTTGCGCATCGTCTGTTTATCTAGCCCAAAATATTCTATCTATACATCGATCAGCGGTCGAATATAGTTTGCGCATTGTCTGTTTACCTRCACCATATTATCGTACATCAAATGCACATCAATATTCTAAACAATAGAATTATGTAGATAATCAATAATTTAAGATTTTTAAACTTAAAAATAATTATTATATATAAACATTTTCAGTTCAAATTTTGTCAAAATTCATCAAAAACTCTAAAATTTAATTCAACAAAATTACATTTTTACTTGCACTATTGTAATATCACGTTATACCTAAGCAATATTTGAAAATTTAATATTAGGTGAGTAAACTTARAGATGATCAAATTTTAAGACCAAATAGTTAGAAAACAAGTTGTGCTTTGGGCGCACACCTATTTATTTCTATTGTTGAATAATATCGATGCGCAAATTATGTAGGATCTTTTAAACGGTCATGCGATGCGCAAACGATGTATGACCCAAAAATCGAACGATGCACAACAACTGTCCTACAAAAAACGTCAAAATTAACAATAGTGATTTGCAAACAACGAGTAATGGATAGAAATCTGCCATCTATTCTACTATATTCATAACGGAACAAACGCTAGAAATCAATGAAGTCATACACTCGTCACTCATACATGCAATGGCCGAAATATTTTTTGTAAATAAATGATTAATATAAATTTATTTGCGCATTTGCATATTATAACATTACAAGTCCAGTTTCAATTCTAATAATWGTATTATTATGTATTACTGCATTATTTACGTCTTACTTGTACTAGGCGAAACGGGTCTTTTRGCGAAAGGTTTGTCCCACAATTCCGTCAACAGCAATCTCTTGTTCGATGACGTACCCATGACGATATTATCCCACCAAAACTGTGATTTCCTGGACGTGCCTTCATTTGAAGCTATAATAAAGCACACGTTTATTAGTTATTCCAATACTGCGCACGTTTTTCTACTTATACTTGATATCTATAATATTAAATTGTATAATATAGAAATCTAAACTATAAATTATAAGTATATATATATATACCGATAAACGGAGCGAACCGATGAGATTCAGTGGGCCAAGCCGTAATGTTTTGATCGTTGCTCTTTACATCGCCTGTTTATTATAAACATGTGTAAGAAGAATAATTATTAATAATTAATGTATTTAATCATTTCGACAAATACGCATCCTCAGATGGGTAAGGTACATGCTATTTCCGACAATCGACAAAATTTCTTAAACAGATTTTAAAAATCGGAAAACTGCGTGGTGCAATATTGTCGACRAATACCATTTTACCTTTAAGAATTWAAGTATACATTATTTAAGTTAAGCGGTCATTATTTCTGCCAAAAATATGACTTTAGTTTCAGCCAAGGAACGTTTTCGCTAAAATAAAAAATATTCGATTTTCGTTTCCGCCAAATCTATTTCAACTTATATTATTGTCAGAGAATTTAAGTTCCCCTAATCAATCTGCGGTGCTATCGACAATCTATGTATTCAGAATGAAAAATGTAACAGTCGATTTCGAAATTAGTGTAATACTTTACAATCAATTTAGCCTTCAACTAATCTTATTGGTTGTCATCGTTTCCATTTGACTCAAGCATTGTATCGTAAAATTCAAGTGTTGAGACTTAAATCATAATATTTAAAAAACGGGTGACTAAGGATTCTCARGAAGCTCAGAATCATTTATCGAAGATTTWAAGTATATTATACCAGAAAGGTCTGCATATTTACAACATACAGATTATTAAGTTGACAATTATATCTCCAAAAATAAAATATTTTTCCCAACGATATGGTTCAATTTCGGTGGAAGTTTATCCGGAACTACAAAAATGAATATTTCACGCATATTTTAATGAATGATTTTGTAAATCACATCCACACATTAATACAATAAAAAAAAATTTAATTTTGAATCTTTAAAACAACGTAGGTACCTATATACTAAAATCTAAAGTTGCAAACTTAGGTAGGTATGCAAAAGCCTGTATAATGTAACAAAAAATAGCGAAGAGCTTATACAAATACTAATGACATTTAAAAAAAAGTTATGCAACAATTATTCAAAATAATAAATAATTTATAGAATTGTTAGAAATATTTGACTATWTATTTATCAAGTATATTAATTTAATGATAAACAACTTAATTTAATTAAATCCAAATTTTTGAAATTTAATCAGAAAATTATCAAACAATTTTTAGGGAGTCAATGAAAACCACCAATTCGGTGACCTCTGGATAACTCTAAATGGTTCTCAAACTATAATTTATATACAGGTTGCTGGAAATAGATTTTGAGAAAATAAAAATCGAACATTATTAGGTTTAGCGGAAACGATACTTGGTGGAAATGAAAATTAAGATTTTTGGCAGAAACTTGACACCTTTTAAGTTAAGTTATTTTAAATTTTAATGGCTATTTTTTAAAATTATTATTAGGTATAATATATTTTAATAGTTGATAGTAAATTTACAATTTGTAGTTTATCCGTCAAAACCTTATACAGTAAAAATCAAATACTMAATAGAACGTTAATTTTACTAGTGAAAATTAATTAATAAATAATAATTATATTTCATTTATAAATTCCAAATAAAAATACCAAATTGTATAAATACCTAATTTTTGGGGTAAAATGCATTTTTAAGGACATTTTTGGCTAGTTTTTAGAGCATATTTGTATGGTTTTAAGTGCATTTAAATCCAGGGCCTACTTATTACCCTTTGATTCACCAAGCACGTTTACCCCCATTTTAGATTCCGAGTGAAGTAATGAATGATTTTACAATTATATATGTGTCACACATAATGTGTGTACACAATAAGWACCTGTAAGTACACAAAATAATGCTTCAATTTCAACTTTAGTATTTTTTCCGGTAAAAAAGTGAATCTATTTGGTGTCAAATAGATCAAAATTTAAAATTCCAAGTAGTCTTCAAAAGCACAAGCAAGTGAAGCAAGAAAAAAAAAAGTAAAGGAAAAACGGGAATTTTTAGAGAAAACTGATTTTGTGTTTTGGTGTAATATCTTAAAATAAATGAAACATGAAATTGTCACTGAATGTTTATACTATAGCATTTCTATGATCCATAATATATAACATATCAATATATTTTGACCCACGTTGAGCTATTAATAGRAATATAAAAATATTGATTTAACATTTCCTATTTATTTTTTTATCATTTGATAAAACTCTCAAAATATTTTGACTTGTTTTAAGCTGTTTACTGACATTTTTAGTTTTCAATGTTTTAATTTTTTTTTTCTGTAAATGTCGAAACAGTTGGATTGTATAGCAGCTTTTTTAAAAAGTAGGTCAAAGATAAAGTTAAAATCGTCGGTAACAACAACACGTGCCAGAAATGACACGCCACCTTCATATCATGAATAACGACCTACCATGTGCGTCCATAAGTTTTGAAATCCCATTCGATAAAAATRTGGGTGGGTCGGTTATGGTTAAGGACGGGAACATTTGCATGACTTTATATATTTCTATTTCGGCTGTATGTTCAAGTAACGGAATGTGCTCTCGATAGTGACAACCCTGTAATTAAATACCACATTACATTATAATATTGTTTATGTGTCTTATTAATTATTATTACATTCGGCAATGATAATTAGGTTAACAGTATGATTAATTATTACAACCTAGTTGTCACTTTACGATTAGTTTGCATAGCAATATTATCATTAAACAAATTAATGTACCTACGTACACGATTGGACTTAACTCAATCCGCAACTAAATAAAGCGCCGAAAAGCCAATCATCAAGACCAATTTMTATTTTATAATATAAATAATATTAAAAAACTATATTTTTTTTAATACAATGAACACCACTTGACGACGTCGCATTTTATATGGTTATTATTGGCTTAACACAATTGCAAGAGATTATTAAAGATATAAAAATAAATCGTTAAATGTTATCTATTAAATTTGTATACATTTAGCAACACACATAATACATATAGATACCGAATTTGACATAATAATTAGATCTTGAATTATGACGTTTATTCGTGTTATAAAACTAGCGTTACATAAATAACACGCTTAATCGGTATTTTTATACTGTTACCTAACATAAGATTATATAATGTATATAGTATATATATTTACTTTTTTTGCAGTCATCAGCATCATGGTTTTTACCAGCCTTATTGGGAGGGAAAACGTTTGGTTCGGAACATATGAATAAGGAGCGAGGATTTGTCACTATAAAAACCCGGCTAGTCGCTCACCCTTAGCTCATCAACCACCCGTAAACTCACGTCGACCGCTTCTGAGGACATAGATTTCGAGAGTCTCAGCCCAAGTGTCTCCAACCCGGAATAAATATTTTTGTGGTACCTATATATTCAATTTAATGCTCCCCCTCAGAGCATCAGTCTGGACCATCCCTGACCAATATAATATTTTTTTTTTTAAGAAAAATTTGTGTTTATTAATGTTAAAAAAAACATGTACTTATKATATCTAATTTTTGTCTATGTATAAATTTTAAGTTATCAATATTATTAATTAGGTGTTTAGATTGGGATTCATTCAAACGAATTACTTGTCCCATACTCCCATCATACCTATACCAAACTCAGATTTCCAGCAATTCTACAGCAAAGAACCAAGCTTATTACTACGCACCAACTAAAGAAGCAAAATAAATACTCTGATGAATAGGTAATTTATTCTTCTGCGGTACACACAATAATTATAAAAATGTTAAGCTTTTGTGGAAACTTACAAATGGATTTTTGATGGGCTCGTATTTAAAAGTCTTTTCGTTGCAACATGGATAACGACCTAAAAATATACAAATAAGTTTTATGTAGAGACATATTCCGCCGGTGACAATAATTTTTACTAACATAATAACACAATATTTTGCCGTTTTTCGTGATATAATAATATTGTATTACATTTTATAAATACGGTTTATCATGGTAAAATGTCCAYTGACATAAATTATTAAATACTAGGTAAAATCCAAACAAAAAAGCAGTGTTATAGTAAAGCTCGACCAGTAGGGAAATTAAGTGATTAAAATAATTGTTCAACACAACTTTTGGTTGAGAAGATACTCTACGTGTAAGAAATTATCTCCTTTTCTTTCATCTCATGATATATCTACATATTATATTTATATACATACCTTGCATGCAAGGACTTTGCTAATTCTCAATTCTATGCAAACTCGTATATATACATTGCCTTCAAAGTAAAGAAAAGCCAAATTCATACAGCCCTCTCCACCGCTGATGTATTATCCTCAAAGTTTGAATTGAAAAACTAATGTATAACTTTCAACAACATCCAACTTTATAAAAATATACAACCTTGTATTTATTTTGAAATCTCGATCATACAAAGAAGTGTTTTTTTTACGTAGGTTGCAAATTAGTTACTAAAGTATGAAAAAATGTATGGTTAATATCACGATAGGGTCGAATGCTCATTGAGAATTCCCCCCCCACGGTTAATTTGACAATTTTACCATTTTACAGGTATAAAAATTAAAAATAAATTATAAAAATCCACCAAATCTCAAGTGTGATGGGAGGTTTACTTCTATAATGTGTGAATAACCCTAAATAATTAAAAGCAATTGTGTTCTAGTGGCGTGCACAGAATTTATTTATTGTCCGGGAAGGTGTAGTAAAAAGTAACAATATGTTAAAGTAATCATTATAATAGGTTTAGATACGTTATTTTTTTCTTATGAGAACGGGGTTAAATCATTTTCCCTATTCCCTCTATATAGGTACTCCAATGCTTATACCTATTTATAGTTATTAGTTGCTATAAAACATAACAATATTATTATATAATATAAGTTATAAGCAATTGTTACCAATAGGATAGTAMAGATATCTATTGTTTTCCACTGGGTAATAATGTGGCTGTTGTGTATGAAAYTGACACCATCTTTGATTCTTGACTGGATACATGTGTTGGCAACGTGAACATCGCATGAAATGGCACTCTGACCACAGAGACCAGTAAACCATTCTCCAACACTTATACTTCGAAAACAGCGACTTGACGTGATCGTTCAATGTCCACTTTGAATCTCTGAAATAAGTGTAATAAGTGTATATAGTAGGTAAGTATGTTATAATAACAATCGATATATTAAATGTATTATATGTTTATTTTTAATTTTATTTCCAACACATACATTTTTCCATTAAGTACCTATACATATATTATACTCTCAATCAGTACTGTAGTAAATAGCTAGAATTTTTTATTTTTTTATTGTTTTTATTACTTATTATTATTATTATTATTTTGAGGCTGGGAGGGGGTTATTATTATGTTATTATTATTCATCACCGATTTTTAAAATGATGAAATAAATTTTTGAGTATAAAATAATAATTTAAACTGGATATCATTTAAAATGAATGAGTCATGATGAGAACATTAATTATAAAATAAATATAATTAACACATTTCAATTTTAGAGGCAAATGAATATTAATCAGTCATTTTTTTAATGTTTATGTAAATTAATTTCTATCAATATATTGAATAATATCATTTCATCAAATTTCACTAATATAATTACTCAAATATTTTTTGACATGTTTCAGACTGGAGAAGCAACCTTCCGCTAAAGCTGTTGATCACTATTAATTGTAACAAATAAAATCAAGTGTATTTTTTTAAATATTTCAATATTTAAAATCTACAGAGTAGATAACAAGTGAATATGTACAGTACTCCTTTTTACATGGATGTATATGTATAGATATCATAAGGCTATTTATAAGATCATCAAATGCACTAGTGCGATGTATAATTAGAAATTAAGAAGCAATGCAGAAAAAATATATGAAATTTATTTAAATCTCTATATTTAAGAGATCACTCTACTTTCTTGAAACCGTAGGAAACACACAATGTCTGCAATTTTCTTGTATTGATCAAATATTAATTTAAACTTAGCTTCAATTTTTATACTTTTTAAAATCTTTCTGAAATTATAATTTATCAAATAGTTCAAATAGTTCAAATAGTTTTATCTAGTGTCCCGCTAATTGTATTTATAATAACTATTGTTATAGTGTAATCTAAAGAACCAATAATTTAAAAAATGGTGTGCTGCCTATGCCATTAGTCATTACTCTCAATTCTGTCTATGGTTCAAGCTTGGAATAATTATATTTCCCTTAGATAATACAAGAATCATACTTGTCTTAAAATTTGAAAAATATATGATTAAATAATAAATATTATTGACWTACAGATTACTTTAACGACGGTGCTAGAATATACAAAGCAATTTCTACAGTATCATATTATATATTAATATATAAATAGATACTTAAAACTTATTTTAAAACGATATAGTATAACCGATGCAGAGAAAAATAAATATTACCTAAAATGACATGCAATCACACTTCCGCTTTGAGCAATCTTAAAAGTCGGTGGTTTACAAGGTATCCTGCCAGCAACGCTTGGAATCAAAATCGTATTACAACGACAACAACTATAAATATATCAGTTAAATTATTTTGAAGTATTTTGTTTCTAATGAATAATTTATACAGATATTTTAATAATAGTAGTCAAAGATATATAAATTGTTTTATTTAAAACAAAACCATGAGGTTAAAACTGAACAATCCCTTACTAACTTATTATAAAACGTGTAATAAATAYATTTAGGGTCGAACGCAGGAAAAAAATTCGGGGGAGGGGGATTGAAAAATTTAAAGTTGGTTATTCATAAATATCATATTATTCATACTGTATTACACTCTTACTATATTAAATTATACATATTACGTATTATAGATTAGCTAATTATTATTCAGTGGCGTTGCTGAAGCTCAGTCAAGGGGGGTGACGATTTCAAAACTCAAATATCACAAGAGACAAGAGTTACCTTCGTCACTAATAAAGTAATAACTAATAGGTCATATTTATTTTTATACTCACAATTTTTTTTTTTTTTTAATTACAGATATTGTCTAATTCTTAACTATCTTTATTAGTGAACGCGGGTCTTACGAGTAGATAACAATCCAATGAACAGATGCATGATTATAATTTATATTATTATTATTTTTAGGCCACGATAAGACGTTGATAAAATAAAATCCAATAAATACTTTAGCCTATTACTCTGAGAGYCTAATAGCCTTAATGTAATAACCACCTCTGAAAAATCCAAGGGGGAGCGATCCACCCATCGCCCCCCCCCCTCAGATACGCCACTGTTATTTTTTGAAATGTTATTAGTAATACATTTGTAGGTCAGAAAATTTATTTTTTGTAACTGCTATTTCGTGGTGGGGGGGGAGGGGGTTAAACACCTAACCCCCCTGCGTTCGCCCCTGAATACATTTTATGTTTTGTACTTTTAACTTTAGTTGTAAACATAGTCATATAATGAATAATAATAAATATYAATTGTGTAATAATAATAAATTTTTTATATTTTACTTTTAATTTAATCGTAGAAATAAGACATAAATTATACATTGTCAAAAAATGTTAATGTTTTGAAAACATTTTTGCTGATTTTATCAAAGAATAATATATATATATGAATAAATTAAAAATAACTAGGGAACATAAAAAACTAACATAGAGAATATAAAATATTGGAACACACTATATTCACTCGATCTATAAGGCATTAATTAATAGCATTATATTATTATAATAGATTATACCTAATTATTTTTGCTTTCATAATTAATCCTTGTAAATAGACGATTCATCCAACACAAATTTATGTTAAAGTCATAAACCTATTTTAAATATTATAAATAGTGCGTAACCAATGTATGACTAATAAGTCAAAAAAAAAAAAATTAATATGTATAGGTACCTACTTATGACAATAAATTATTAAGTATAATTACAACGATGAAAACCAAAATCAATCAATCTATAATAGGTATAGTAATCATATTGGAATTCGTTCCATGTGAAAAAAAATGTATTTGTATACCTAACATGAACAACAACTGACAACATATTAACACCTATATAACCAAGTGATAAAGTGACTAAATAATAACATTTGTTCTAATCAAAAGTTAAAAACATTTTTTAATAGATACCGGTATTTTATTAATAATGAACGATAAACAAAATGTAATAGTTCCTTGTTATTTACAATCGTTACCACTAGTCAGTTATTWTTGATATTGGATCAAACTAATTTAATAATAATTTATAATCACAAGAAGGTAAATAATAATTTATTAAATATTTCATTATTATTTATTAGTAAGAAAAAAGGTTTAGTAATATTTATTATATTTAAAATCAATAAAATTTTTTTTTTTTTAAGGGAAACCCGTGGCAACATAGGCCATTTGGTGTGGGGTGGTACGGTAGGGGTTATTTTGTATATTTGTCAGTAGGTTTTTAAGTGGGTAGGGTTGTAATACGTGTTTGTGTATATGTGGCAAGGATATGTTCCAAAAATCCCGGGTGGTCACCCATCAGTGCGTTTCGGCAGATTGAGCGTACGACCGCGCCTCACCAAGCCACAAAATCAATAAAATTGTATATTGTTTATCTAACAAAATATTTTAAATTTTGAACTGAATATATCAAATAAAAAGTTAATAACTTGGTTGCACCAATTTCAAGTTCACCCAAATATCATTTWAAAAAAGCAAATATAAAAAAAAATAATCTCAAGTGTTTTTAAATTCTATAATTTTAGAATAAAAATGAGGAAAATTAGAGCAATATATTGTTTTGTCCCCAAATGCATGATTTTACGTTTATTACAAATGGTTACCAAATAGTATCGTCGTTGTGGTAATATTCTTATTTAAAATTTAAATTTACAACTAAAATCGCTTAAATTTGATTAAGGTTAATATCGTTTTAAAATTATTATATTTAATTATTATATCAAGCTCATAATTTGTTATACATAAATTTGAATACTTAATCAATCAGAAACGATTAATTTTATCTAATCGAAAATAAATCCTATATATATATATATATTATATATACTAATAATGTTTTAATAAATTTTGTATTTTTCTTTTACAATTTTTCTTTTTCGAATATATCGTGTTGAGTAGGTATTTAGTAAGATATCTGATCTATTATCCATACCTAATTTATTAATCACTCAGTCATTCAGAACTTATATTATTTACATAAAAAAAAACCGATGAATCCTGAAAGCGCAAATCGACCTTTTTTTCGATAACTCAAAAGTGCAAAACAAATTTG